GAATCACCGTCTTATGCTGTTATAGAACAACGGATGGATGGAACTCATCAACAACTCCATCAAGCCCTTCTGCCGCCATATGCTGGTATTTTTAACGCCGAATTAACAGCAATTAAATTTGCCGTCCAACACGCAACCAGAATCAAAAAACGGGCCGTCATTTTCTCGGATAGCTTGAGTGTGCTAAAATCGTTAATGGACCGAAATAGTGAAGCGCACAGATACGTAGTGGGGAGAATTAATAAACACGACGATATTAAACTGACATGGATACCCGGACACATGGGGATAACAGGCAATGAGCTAGGAGACAAAGCTGCTAAACAAGCTTTTAGTGTGCCACTTGTAGCAGAGTCTCCTTGCTTGGTCACTGCCATGACGAATTTCCATAGATCGTACCTCAGAGCAACCAGAGATAGATTGTGGGAATCGTCCAAGTGTTTTTTAAGGACCCACAACGTCAGATGTGACCGACTGAACTATCATAAGGACCTTTCACGCGAAAAATGCATAACAATAGCAAGAATGAGAGTAGGCGTAAGCAAATTTACATCTGAGCATTACTACAGTCGCGTAGCTCAACGGGAATGTAACGAACCCCTCAGTATAGAACACATCCTTAAGGACTGTCCCATCTCCGGTTATAGCAATAACTTGACTGCAACTCTAGACTGCAGTGATGAACATACAATAAAGTTGCTAAGCGACGCCCTCAACAAACACAACCTGCTGCATGAAATATAATTTTGCTTGCGAGGCAAATGGCCTAGTCGCCGAGCCTCCTAATATATTTTATAAATTGATTTATAAAATATAATATTAATAAATAAATAAATAAATCTTATATGGGGTATCAAAATCATTTTAAATAATTTAATTTTTCCTGCTTTGGAAATAGTTTTCGTTAATCTATGCAATAAATTTACTTTCTTTGCTATTTTACCATTTATATATTCAATATGTTCTTTAAATGTCAAATTGTTATCTATAATTACCCCTAGATACTTATGCCTTTGAACCCATTCTAGCGTTGTAGAACCCTTGTTCTCACTTCGGCTTCTTCCCTAAATCTAGTCTTACCTAATGCCATACATGTTGTTTTCTGTACATTAACACATAATTGATTCTTACATAACCATTCGCATACGGTAGTTAATTCTTCATTAATTTTGCTACTCAGATCCAGTACATCTTTTCCACTTATATAAATCAGTGTGTCATCTGCAAACATATGTACTTTACAATGTTGCAATACTTCTGGTAAGTCATTTATGTACATTATGAACAACAACGGCCCCAGTTTACTTCCCTGTGGAACACCACTTTTGACTTCTTTCTCATCTGACACTACATTATTAAATCTCACAGTTTGATATCTTTCACTTAGGTAATCTTCCAACCATTCATAAACCCAACCAGTAATGTTATACATTTCCCTTAATTTTTTTAACAATAGTTTTCTATTTATTGTTTCAAATGCTCTTTTGTAGTCTAGAAAAACTGCAAATGTTCCTTCTCCTTTATCAATTGTTTTTAGCAAATCTTCAATAACAAGTTGTAAAGCCGACTCTGTGCTATATTGCTCCCTTAAGCCTGATTGGTGTTTTATCAGCAATCTATTTTCTGATATATACTTTAATAATGTTTTGTGTACTAAGGTCTCTATCACTTTTTCTATTACTGGGAGAGTATTAATTGGCCTGAGGTCATTACAATGAACACTTCCCTTGATTTTGGCAACAGGCACAATCACTGATGTTTTTACTTATTTCGGCATCATTTTTTGTGCAAGTGACTGTTGAACAATATCTGTTACTACATCTACAACTTATGCCATCGGGGCCATTCGTAATTTTTAGATTTTTGACAATTTTTTCAACAGTTCCCTTATCTACATCTTGAAACTCACTGAGGGAAATGTTTTCATTTCTCAATTCCATTTCGTAGCTATTTCCATTGGATATAGTTTCGACAATTTCATCTACGCTACCAACGAAAAACTGATTTAGTCCATTTGCTATTTCATCTGCATTAAACACATGTTGATTTCCAATTATAACACTCTTCATTTGCTTAGGTTCGGCTCTATATAGAGTTTTCAGATGTTTCCAAAGTTTCTTTGGCTCTTTCTTCAGTCGTTCAAAACTATCCTCATGATATTTCTTCTTTGCATTCCTCCAAATATTAATAAATTTATTTCTACATTGTTTATATAGCTCCCACGCCTCTAAATACCAGTAGCCTGTTTCTTTCAACAGGAGAAATCTATTATAAGCTACATCCCTTTCCACCATGCGTTGTTTAATTTCTGCCGAAAACCACGGACACGGTTTACTTCGTACCCACATATCCGGTCTCCTGCCTTCCTGTATACTCTCACTCAATATTTGTTTTAAAAAGTGATATTTTGTCCCACAATCCATGTTTAAACTACTTTTATTTCTTAATTTATTCTGTACTACTTTAGATACCACTTCGTAATCAATCTTTCCCTTCATAAGAAACTTTTTTCGCTCACCTGTAGAACATGTGAGTCACCCTAAAATCGCAATATCAGTTATATAATGATCCGATATCCTTGGTGTGTGTAGTACTGTACATTTCATGTTTATATTATCGGTTATCACCAAAGGGGGGGGGGGTCGACTGGTCGAATTTCATGTTGAAATACAGAAATCATTTCTCTTTTAGCAATCAGACCATTAACATTTAAAACTATTAGACGCCTCTTAGATTCATTTACCTTTGTTTTGGATTGCTATATGCTTTCATACATAATTGTTCTTCTTTTCATGCTCATTCTTCTTTGATAAACAGGACACTCGCTACTGAGTACACTGTGGCTACAATCTAAATTTAATTGTAGCTTACCGTTTGCCTTCACACAATTCGGGAGCACGCCATAATCCCGACTTTGGAGATCCCGACTAGACAGAATCCAGACAATTTTTAAAAATCCAGACAATACAAAATCCAGACAGGACATAATACAGACATAACAAAATCTCGACCAAATAAAATACAGATAACACATTATTCAGACAAGACAAAATCCCGACGACTCAAAATCCCGACAAGACACAATCCAGACAAAAATAAATTACAATGCGTCCGGAAATGAAATTGATGACTTATGCTTAAATATAAACGGTTACCACTCCACATTTTTCGCTTCTTCACTGCAAGGAGCCTAACCCTCTCGACAACCATTTTACTACAAGGGCGAAGGCTGCGTATTCTCGTCGATGGCAAACTAATTCCAACGGTGAATAACCGGAAAATACGATAGCGTACCACTTGTCACGTAAAAAGACATTTTTCGGATTATGACACACGTGAACGTACTCTTTGCTCCATTTAGCTTATACTGCCTGACGTATCACGTAATTTTCTTACGTATCGTTTTCGATCCATGAAAGGATGTTACGATTCGAGCCCAGATCTAGCGCTCGTTCCCGGCGCATACAACCGAAATTGCCAACCAAGTACAGAGCCGTAGTCCTCAATTCGGCAGTACTTGGCCAAAGACAAAGAAACGGTGTTGCAACCATACAAAGCCGTCCGGTTCTAAATTATACAGCGCCTGTGTGCTCGCCGGGTACAATTGGTTCGCAGTGGACGAAACTAAAGACATGCCACAATACAACACCCTGGACAACCAGAGGATGTCTTCTGATGTCGCCAGAACATAACATCCAAAGTGAAGCCGAAATTATCCCAGTAAGGTGCAACAGTTGTCAGCACTCGGACTTGCTTGAGCTGAAGGACCAGATCCAGCACTACGCACAGCACTCCTGGGACTGGGACTGTACAGACAGGCTATTAACGGCATTTACAAACTCCAGTCAAGTGAATGCCGTCATCAGTGCCAATCACCAAATCTCCTGGGCCTACCGTTAGTTTAGCCTGCGGACAATTACGGGCTAAGCAAGGCCTTACAACAATAACAACAACTGTGTCTTTTATACATAATTTTTGAGTGAAAACAGAAGACAATCATGACAAAAATCCCGACAAAATATAAAACTACTTAAAAAATCGCGCGATTAAAAAATCGGGATTTCTTGTCTTGATTGTGTCTTGTCGGGATTATGTAAGGTCGGGATTGTGTCTTGTCGGGATTACGTGCATTGTATTGCTGCCGCCAGATGATTCCCTCCACATTTTACACATATTTTTCCACCTTTCATGCATCGCGATAATGCCAAATACTCATGTACTCTACACCTCTCCCAATGACGCGCGCGCGATTTTTTAATTATTGGGTGTATAATGAAATCCCGATATACAAAATACCGAAATACAGAATCCCGAAAGACATTATCCAGACACGACCAAATCCCGACCAGACATAATCCAGACACGACCAAATCCCCACCATACATAAGCCCGACAAGACACAATCCCGACCATACATAATCCCAACAAGACACAATCCAGACAAGAAATCCCGACAAAATATAATTACAAAATCGCGCCATTTTTTTTTAATATTTTTATATTTTGTCGGGATTTTTGTCATGATTGTCTTTGTTACGTAGTGTTCGACACGAGTGTTTGCTTTGTAATGAATCTTCATTTGTTCCTTTTGTCATTTGCTTCTTACTTATTAACTTGCATACATAGGGTTGCCAACTACTTGCACAACATCTCCCTTTTGTTTTCCGATACAATATAATTAGAAACATATTTGACTAAATATGTACGTAAATTTGAAATTAAAGTAATACAATACAATTAAAAACATATTTGGCTAGATATAGATATACATTCGAAACTAAAGTACTGTGCTTACATGTAAGTGGGACAATTAGCTAAAGATCTAACTTTTGCGGTGGAGCTATTCTACGACCGCTTCTGGTGGTGATGACATTTTCTTTAATAGTTTGGTTTTTTGCGCTTAGAGTACTAGTGTTCTCGAGTTCCGGTTGTGATATATCGATATCACTTCCCTTTCTCGCACCCGACTCCGTCTTTTCGTTTATATCTGGCTCATTGTTTGCCATATTATTACTGCTGTTATTTACTTCGGAGCTATTTAACATCGATGGTTTTTGTTCTGGAATTTTCATGATATCCACACTATTTCTTCTGTACAGATTTTTGTTTTCATCTAAAATTGTAAAAAACCTAGGTTCCTCACATTTTTGTACAATTTGACCTGGTACCCATAGGAACTTAGGATTTTTCTTATAATAAATTCGATCTCCTTTCTGAACTGGTTTCAACTCTTTTGCAGTTCTGTTATACCTGCGTGTCACTTCTTCAAGTCTTTGTTTGCACCGATTTTTGAGCGATTTCTGGTCTACTATTTTGGCTTTCATTTCTGTTCTAACTAGCGGTAATTTTGTTCTAAGCGTTCGCGACATTAACAGTTCAGCTGGACTGGGCATATTATTTTTAAGTGTGGTCCGATAGTGCAACAAAGCTATATACGGATCTGATCCCGTTTCTTGACTCTTAGTTGTATATATATATATATATAGTAGTTTTTTAATAGTTTGTATAGACCTTTCAGCGAGACCATTCGAGCGAGAATGATATGGACTAGAGGTGTGATGATCAATTTTCCACTCGTTACAAAAGTGCCTGAACTCCTGGGAGCTAAATGTTAACAGGACTACTGGAATACCCTGCCTCGAAAAAATTGACTTAAACTTTATAACAACCTGTTGGCACGAGTAACCGCCACTTAGATGTTCGATTTCTATATATTTGGAGAAGTAATCAACTACTAAAAGATACATTTTGTTATTAAATTCAAATAAATCCGCCCCTAACTTGTACCAGGGAACATCAACCACTTCGTGACTTAACAGCGATTCCTTACAATTTGAATTTCTGTGCCTTACGCAAGATTCACACCCTGTCACTAGGTTAAAAATGTCGTTATTTATGTTCGGCCAATAAACAGATCTTCGAGCTAACTCTTGACATCGCTGGATGCCCATATGTCCTTCATGAATATAGGATAACATTTTTGTTCTCAAAGATTTGGGTACAATTACCCGGTTATTTTTTAATAATATCCCTTTGATTTCGTTTATGTCGTCCCTGAATGCGTAATATGGGCTTACATCGGGGTCCACTTCTTTCTTTGACGATGGCCAACCTGTCTTTAAATATCTACAGATTTTTTGGAAGACCGGGTCCTGACCCGTTGCTTTTTTAATATCCTCTATCTCCCTTTCTGGTAAGGCTACGTGTGCAATTACTGCGTTGCAATGTAAGTCGAGTTCTTTGTCTACGTTGGCGTCCGTTATTTCTTTAATCGGGGCTCTGGATAGGGTGTCAGCTATATACATTTGTGTACCAGGCTTATACTTAACGGTCAAGTTGTACATTAACAGTCGTAGTCTAAATCTTTGAAGACGTGCCGGTATTTTATATAAAGGCTTATCGAAAAGAGGTACAAGTGGTTTGTGGTCTGTTTCTACCGTGATGTTTTTTTCCGTATAGGTACTGGTGAAATTTTGTACAACCAAACAAAATTGCGAACATCTCTTTCTCAATTTGAGCGTAATTAACCTGACTATTAGACAGAGAGGCTGACGCATAAGCAAGAGGATTAATACCATGCTCCTACTGCAAACTGGGATGCATCAACAGACAACGTTACTGGTTGATTTGGATCGAAGTACGCTAAAACAGGCGTTTTTGTAAGTTCTTGTTTCAAGTATTCAACTTCCTTATCATGAACGTCCTGCCAGTGCCATAATTAATCACTTTTGAGTAAATTGCGTAAGTTTTGGTTTTTTGCTGACAAGTTTTTGATGAAAGAACCCAGGTAGTTGACCATACCTAAGAATCGTTGAAGGTCTTTTACATTAGTGGGTTTTGGCATTTCAGCAATTGATTTTACTCTCTCCGGATCGACCTGTATGCCCTCTTTATGAAAATGTGCCCTATAAATTTAAGTTTTTCCTTAAGAATATTGGATTTACTCCTATTAAACCGTAACCCTACTTCATTTGCTCTTTTCAACACCTTTTCCAGTATTTTACTGTGCTCTTTTACATCTTCCGCATGTATCAGAAAATCGTCCATATATATAATCAAACCCTGAATGTCCCCAAATAGCCTCACCATTTCCGCATGAAATATTTCAGGTGCGTGCTGCTTTTATGCCAAAAGGCAGACGTAAAAACTTGTAACAACCGAACGGAGTTATAAACGTACATAACTTCGAAGACTCCTCATTTAATGGGATCATCCAAAAGCCCGAACTGGCATCTAATGTGCTAAATACTCGAGACCCAAACATTTTAGACTTGCATTCTTCCACCGTAGGCAACGTAAAACGCGGCATTACTATTGCTTTATTTAAATTTTTGGGATCTAGACATATCCGTAAATTGCCATTTGGTTTGGTCACAATCACAATAGAGCTAACCCATTCTGTTGGGCCTTCTACCGGCTCTATAACGTTAAGGTCCATCATTCGTTTCACTTCCCGCTTTAAAGGTTCGTACAAACTAAAC